TCTAAACAAAGATCAAAAGTCCCGTTCGGAAATGTTGCCTCGGAAAGGTTGCCTCAGAAATGTTACCTCAAATATGATCTTAAGACATTAGGGTTATTACTAAGACATCCTAACATTGCTTTAGTGATCGTACGTCCCTTTCGAATTGACCCTTACAACTCCAACGATGGTGCTACCTATTTCTCAATAGTAGGATAGCATTGTCTAAAGGAAACGAGAACAAAAATAATCTTTTTTCGAGTAGGTAAATGCTAGTAGGTACTTGCTCAAAATCAAACTTTTTACACAAAAACTTTTCAAACAAAGTTTTCAAAACAACTCCGTAACACTCTTGAAGACAGAAGCAAGGGTTAAAACGAAGTAAAACAAAACTTTTCAAAACACACAAACACGGAAGCAATTTTTAAAAAATGATGAGCAAGTACCTAAGAGCCCGTAGAAAACTACGGATAGAAAGGGTGCTAGTACCTTCCCTTTCTATAATCTACCCCCCGTACTCAGAATATCTCAAAAAAGGAATTTTTTTATGCTTTTTTTCCTTTCCAGTTGGATAAAATAAAAGTCGACGGCGACTCTTGCTTACCGCGACATTTTGCGAACATAAACGCAAAACGCAAACCAGCATTTTAACAAAACAATTCGGTTCTGCCACCGTATCACACTATGCAAGGCACATGCGTGTGTGGTATCAGAAGTTCCATTATAATGTGTTACGTAATTGTGACGCTATAGAAGAAACATCAAAAGTTCGCTCTTACACTGCATTCTTTATTCATCATGCATTGCATTACATATGTTGCAATGTTGTTTATTGGTTATTTATCAATTTTGCATCATTATATATATATATATATATATATATATATATATATATATATATATATATATATATATATATATATATATATATATATATATATATATATATATATATATATATATATATATATATATATATATATATTAGTATTTGTATTGGAACATGATACTTCTCACAATTTGATTTATTTCTTTTTTATTTTTTCAAAGGGGGGAAGCATATACGAGATGAAGTTTGGAAGCACAAAGTCAGGGGGGCTTTAGATAAGTACAAGAAATGCATCGTCACGAGTTTTTCCATCATAAAAAAGGGGGAGTATATGAGTACAACTTCACCATTATATGTTTTGTATGTTGTCAAAACTAGGAAAACTTAGCATTTATGTATACTGGAAGGTATCTCTATGTCTTAGGACACTTATTTGCATTAGGGGTCTTAGGAACTATTAAAAAATATTTTGAAATTGACCAAAGTATTGAAAAACATTTTTGCATAATTTTGGCTTGCATGTGCCGACACATATGAATTTAAAGTCGACACATACAACTAAGTTTTGAAGCTTGTAGCCTCTGGAAGGCTTAGGTAGACACATACATACATATAGGTCGACACAAATTAAAGGTTTTAGAAAATTGCATAAACTCCTATTTTATGCGCTGGCACATACGAATTTCAGGCTGACACATGTGATGGTGTTTTAAAGACAAAAAGATATTGTCTTGCTTAGGCCGACACATCTGTTTTTTAGGTCGACACATGCAGTTAAAATTTGACTTATGTTTCGACACATATAAATTTTAGGTCGTCACATACTGTTTGATTGGGTCAATTTTTCAATTCTTTTTAATTATGAAAATCTCCTCTTTGCATCTAAACTTCCACAACTATAAATACATCATTCATGCATCATTCCAACTTGGTGAAACTGTAAACACTTACTGCATTTGCTCTTGATCTTCTACCTCTAACCTATGTATACACACTGATAAATCACACATAATGTTTTGTCGGGGTGCCATCTAGTAAGGTTTGATAACGTCCGATTAGGTTCTTGTGTAGTCGAGAATATTGGGTTGAGATCTGCATATGGTTTCATCCAGAAAAATCGTGAGTTTGTCCTCCATGATCGTTGATTATTTTGGGGTTTTCGTATAAGACATTCAAGAGATGATTGCAGCCTAGTGAAAGCCTTTGGAGATAAAGAACACAAAGGAATTTTTGAGATAAAAAACACAAAGAAAGTAACGAGAGAACGACAGATCAAATTGAAGTCTTGAGTGCAATAAGTACAATTGATCGTGCGCGAAAGATTTGGAGATAAAGAATGCAAAGGATTAGCAATATCGACAAGTCAATTAGGATCTATTATGTCTCGGTCTTTCTCAAGATCAAAAGAAGAGAAGAGGTTGAATCAACAACAAACGGTTAGGGTTTTTAGAGGGGCTTTTGGAACACTTCTCTCGTAACAAATTTTTGCATAGTAAGAATTATCCTAATTCTAAATTGGAATTGGGCATCGATGTACCCACACGCGAGGACGAAAGTGGGGAACTCTGTAGACAAATTCGCGTGTATCTTTTTCTTATTGCTTTACTTGCTTTAATTTTCATCAATCAATTTGTATAATAACATTAGATAATCGATCGACTTGTGAGAATTTCTCCGTGACTGTTTTTGTTTTGAATTAGGTGTTGATTTTGTTATAATCACTTTTCATTATAAGTGCTTTTTGTATCAATACAACTTAAAGGAAAATTCTGAAAACTCGGTCGCACACCAAGTATTCGACATATTGTTTTGTTTGTTCTTTTGATTTTTACCATTGGAAATAGTATTACTAGTAACTTGCTATTAATGATTAATATGTTGTTACTTGATTGAAGTATATAATTTCCATATTATAGTGTTCATTCCATAATTTGTTTTATATTTGTATACCCGACTTTTAATAGCTTGGTTCGTATAGACGATACTTTTGAAAACTTTCCGCTTGCACTATTTTTTAATTACTTTTATGGTTAATAGCTATTTTCCCCCTGTCATATGGACGAGTTTTGAAAAATCTCCATATAAATAAAAGTTTGGATTCACCCCCCTAACATATGAAGATTCCCAAGAAATCCATGTAAGTACGAAGTGCGCCTAAGAAGGGGGGGGGGGGGGGGGGGGGGAATTAGGTACTTTATAAATTTTCTGGTTTTAGGGATGATGGATATTATTTATCTGGTTTATGGTGAGTTTATGAAAGAGTAAAGTGTAGAAAAATAAAGAGACACAAGCGATATATCCTGGTTCCCCTCACAGTCCGAGAGTACTCCAGTCCCCTTTCAACATGAAAGAGATTTCCTTATTGTGGCAAACTTAAACAAAGACTACCCAAAACCAAGAAAGATCCTCTTGGACCAAGAACAATTCTCTTGGATTTTCACTATGTCAACAATGAGAACAATCCTCTTAAAGTGACTTTACTTGTATCCAACAATTCTGGAAAAACAAGATTTATAAAACCACTTTAACTTATTTCCAACAATCCTGAAAAATAAGCAAGTATATAGTAATATTTGATTTGAGTAGCAATGATCACTTTGACTGATTTAATCAATGAATTGATCTTCTCTTCCAATGATAATAGTATACAATGACTCAAGATATATAATGCTCAAAGTTTTCTGGTTAATAATATGTGAAAGTGTGCAGAAAACTTGTGTATGAAAATGTATAACAGCTTGAGTTTGATTTTTGAAAATTCAGAAAATATGATTGGAAGAGGTTTTCAAAAATGATTTTGAAAATGAGTATTTATATGTTCGCAACACCCTTTTAAAACAATATAAAATTCTGTAAATGAACCATGAACAATTGTCAAGATTGAGTGAAAGATTTTCATAAATTGGTGTTATGAACAAGCATGAGTAAAGCTGCTGTTTTTCAAAATCGTTCAGCATGCAATCGATTGCACCCTTTGTGCAAATCGATTGCACGGGGTTTTAACAGCTAGAAATTCAAATATTTGGAGTGTGCAATCGATTACACAAGTGTGTAAATCGATTGCACTTAAAGTCAGTAGCAAAAATTTATTGAGAGCAATCAATTGCACAAACATCCAAATCGATTGCACTTAGAAACAATATCAAATATTTTGAAAAATTGAAGCATGCAATCGATTGCACCAATATGCAAATCGACTGCACTCAAGTGAAAATTGATTTTTTGCTTAGAAAAACTTGAGTAAGGATTTGGACAATATAAAATATTTCTTTTGACCATTGAGCATCTATGTCTTAAGTTCAAAGTAAATTTTATCATTATACCTTGAAATTTTGCTAAGTGCTTGAACCAAAGACTTTATCCACAGACGCTTTTAGCTTGATCAATAATCTTTGTCTTCTTTGTCAATCATGGTTTGTCTTCATCAAAACAAAAGTGCATTTTGAGAAGCTTGATTTTACAATCCAATCATAAAAAAAAAGACTTGTCAACCTTTATTTATTTATTTTTGTAATGACATGGACTGTCTAGTTGTCTTTTTTATTAATTATTCATTTTATTTTAAATGCCACGTGGCTTTTAATTTTCAATATTTAATTTAAGCTTAGAGTTTTTAAAAGCAAAATAATTCAAAATGGTTGTCATGTCATTTTTTTGATGATTGAATTTCTTGAGGAGTCAAAACAAAAAAATCTTCATATGATAGAATGAATCCAAAAAATTTTCTAAGAGATTTTTCAAAACTTACCGATACGGAACAAAATAGCTATTAATCCTAAATTTTTTAATTATTTTTTCAATTGTTGCAAAATATTATACAACATATCGAATTCCAAATCCATAAAAGAAATCAATGTGAGAGCCATAACACATGCTTAGAAAAATTGTGAAGTGGAAAGATTTGTGAAAGAATATATAGTAATTATCATTTGTCTCATTATAGCATGAAGCCACATGTTCAACATGTAGTGGAGATGTGAGAGCCACCCAAGCGAGTCATGTGGAATCTGTTGCAATAAACAGTTCCCTATTATTAAGCATTTTTCATTGCAGTTGCAAAACAACTTTCTTCAAATCTCACTATCAATGCCACCAAAACATAACAAAACAAGAAAAATAACTAGTACATCAAATTTTACAACATAAAAAAAAGTAGCTGATGACGCTAACAAGAGATCCATCGAGTGAAGCCATGGAAGAAAAAGTAGAAACAACTAGAGAAGCCATGTCAACGGTTGCACACAAGGCACCTATAACAATTGAAAGAAAAGTTCCCGATGACTTGGACACCAAGCTTCCCAAACCTTGTATGTAATCTATTTTTCTTATTCATGTACATTATATATTTTGTTTTCTTAATTTCAAATATACGTTTGGTTTTAGATATGCCACGAGCCTTGGTTGCCCCTGATGCAGAGAATGTGAATGGCACATGGGGTCACAACCATAATGACATGTCTGTGCTTCAACAACATGCATCCTTCTTTGATATCGACAATGATGGTATCATATACCCATGGGAGACATTCAAAGGTATTAAGTTAATCTCTATGTCGAACACCTAAACCAACACAACATGTCACTATCAGTGTTGTGTCTGATATCTACGTCCTTGTCTATTTTCATAGGCACTAATTACTTACATCCCCTCTCTAGGATCTACATGGTATCTAACATGTGACACGATACTATACCATGTAATTAAATTCAATTGTTTATATTATTTCAACATGTCATGTACTATCATGTTCACCATCCTTGTCCCTAGGAGATTGAGGTCCATATCTAAGTGTTAATAATGATGGAATTATTTTCATATTTTTTTTTTGTAGGTTTTCGCGCGCTTGGTTTCAATGTTGTTTCTTCCTTCATATTTACGATTATTCTTCATGTAGCTTTGAGCTATTCAACTCTTCCTGTAAGACATAGCTACCTTCACTTCTGTTACTTACCATTACTAGCAGCAGTAGCACATCTTAGTTATTCTCACTTTTTTGAATTTCTTCCACAGACATGGCTACCTTCACCGAAGTTACCAATTTACATACAAAATATACATAGAGCAAAACATGGAAGTGACTCAGGGAGTTATGACACGGAGGGAAGGTGAGTAATCAATAAGATTGATATATTAATAATGTCTTGTGATATGGATAAATCAATATTTTCAGGTTCATTCCAGCAAATTTGGAACTAATGTTCAGTAAGTATGCTCGTGAAGTGCCTGATAAATTATCAATGAGAGAGTTGTGGCACATGACTCAAGGAAACAGTGTTGCCTATGACTTCTTTGGCTGGTAACTTCTCTTCCAATATGTTTCAAACACAAACAATTATTTCACCTATGAATGATAATCTACGAGGCCGTCTATGAGGACATGCAAGACGGCTCTGATGAATAAACTAATTTCTTCAAAACAATCATTTGCAGGGCTGCAAGCAAATTTGAGTGGGGTGTTTTGTATCTTCTAGCAAAAGATGAACATGGTTTTCTATCAAAAGAAGCTGTGAGACGTTGTTTTGATGGAAGCTTATTTGAGTATTGTGCTAAAATGCGTAATGGCGCAACTAGAAAAATGGTTTGACAAATGTTCTCATCAGATAAATGTCTCTCTTTTACCTTTATAGAGTTGCACCACCATGGTTGGTTACTCAACCTATTGCAAACTTATTTAGAATAACAGTATATTATTATTATTGTATTCTTTATATCATTGAATTGAATATATTGTTTGTACCTTATTTATGAGTAAAAATCTACTTCATATCTTTGAAAAATGGAGAGCTTATTATAATTTGTAGCATACATTCTTAACAATGAAGCTCTATGTTTATGAGACGGTAGAATAGTCCAATATTTCTACGTAAAGAGATAGGAAAGTTGTCATAAGTCCAATGTGTCCAATTTGATTCAGGCCAAACATTTGGCACCCAGGGTTCCCATCTTGAGTTAGGCAGTCGTCTATGGTTAACGGTTCTCAATCTTAGGACAGGTATCGTGCTGTAAGATTTCTTGAGAAGGGACATCTAACTTATCTCTCATTATGTTCTATTTGAACCATGTTGCCTTCATATATGATTGAAGATGAAAATAAAAATGGAAGAAGAGAGAGAAAGACGACTACAATATGTTAAGAAAGAAATTATATATTCATAATTTATTTTCTAATACAAAATCTCAGTTACAATCTTATTTAAATACACAAAATAAACGGCCACGTAGGTCTCAATAAAAGTATACTTAATAGTTAATCTAACAAAAACAAACTAGGACCCCAAAAGCTAAACATATTTCTGAAACACAGCCTAAAATTTTTTTGCTTCTGACTAACACAAATACTTCTGAATATGAAGCACTTCTAACACCATCCCTTAATTCATATTCAACTAACTAAACTCTACAACACCAATTACATTCCTCAAACGGATAAAGGGTCCAGTCTTGACAACCTTCGTCAGAACATCTGCAAGTTGCTTCTGGATGCTATAGTGTGCAATTTCTAGCACTCCATTCTGGACTTGTCTTCTCAGAAAATAGAACTCCGTGTCAATGTGCTTGCTTCTCCCATGCAACACTGGGTTCTTGGCAAGACTTATAGCCGATTTATTATCAATCATCAACTTCACAGGTTTGCTCACCTTTATCTTCAGATCCTGCAAAAAAATTCAATTAACCAAATAGCTTGACACACAGACAAAACACCTGTAATGTATTCAGCTTCACAAGTTGACAACGCAACCACAAGTTACTTCTTGGAGCACCAAGAAATAAGACTTCTCAGATACTTGAAAAAGTATCCAGAAATACTTCTTCTGTCTACTCTATCTCCACACCAATCAGAGTCTGAATAACATATTAGCTCTACATCTGATTTAACACCAGAAGAGAACAATACTTCATACCTCAAAGTCTCTTTAATGTACCTCAATATTCTAACAACAACTTGATAATGTGACCACTTTGGTTTGTTCATAAACCTACTCACCATTCCAACAACATAACAAATATCAGGTCTGGTATTACACATATGTCTAAATGAGCCAACCAACTGTTTGAAAGTTGTAGCATCTACATCATCACCCTCAACATTAGAATCCAACTTGTGATTTGTACCAGCAAGTGTGATTGCAGTCTTACAATTTGTTAGCTCAAATCTCTTCAAAAGCTCAAGTTCATCCTTTAGCTAATGCAATATTATATCCTTCTCATAGTATAATACCTCCATTCCTAGAAAGTATATCAACTTTCTTAGGTCGGTCATCTCAAACTCATTCATCAGCACCTTCTTGAACTTGACTACCTCCTCAGAACATCTACCTGACAATAATATATCATCAATATAAAGATACACCAGAATCATATTCCCTTTAGAAGTATGCTGAACATAAATATCATACTTCATCTCACACTTCTAAAAGCTATGCTTCTTGAAAAATGAATCAATCTTTAAGTTCCAAGCTTTGGGAGCTTGCTTCAATCTATACATGGCTTTATGCAACTCTTACACCATTCCTCCCTGATTATTTTTTACAAATCCAGGAGGTTTTGACACATATACCTCTTCTTATAACAGATCGTTCGAAAATGCATATTTCACATCTAGATGCATCAGAAGCCAATTCCTATTTGCAGCTATCATAATCACAAATCTGATTGTTTCATGTCTACCTACAGGCGCAAATGCCTCAAATAAATCTAGCCCAGGTTTATGAAGAATACCTCTAGCCACTAGCCTTACTTTGTGCTTGCCAATTGAGGCATCTGGCTTTAATTTCACCTTAAAAATCCATCTGACGCTGATGGCTTTCTTGTACTTTGGATTCTCAGTCAACTCCCAAGTCTTGTTTTCTTCTATAGCCTCAAGTTCTTTTTTCATGGCATTCAACCATACTTTCTTCTTCAGAGATTATTCAATACTCACTGGTTCAGAATCCACTAACATAACACACTGAATGACTTCTCCCTTAAAGTCTACTTCAGTATCTTGAAGCATATCAAACTCTACGAATCTACTTAGTATTTGTCTGGTTCTTTATGGCCTCTGAGCATGTTCTGACTCTTCAACAGAACCACTATCTTTAGAAGTACCACCTTTAAAACCATGATCACCTTCAGAAGCTTTTCCTCCAGAACATACGTCTTCAGAGGTTTCCCTTCCAAAAGCATGGTTACCACCAGATTCTGGATCATCATCAAAATTTGGATCAGAAATAGATTCACCTTCGAATTCTGACTCATATTCAAAGTCCCCCTAGTTATCTTCTGACTCTGACTCGTCTTCATAACTTTCATATTCTGACTCATCTTCAGAAGCTACATCGGGTGTTAGCACTACACCAGAGTTGGATTGAGACTTGCTCTAATCCCAAGATTTTGAATCTTTCATAATGACGTCTTTGCTGACTTCCACCTTATTGGTGACTGGACAATAAAGCTTATACTCACATGTACTGTGGTACCCCACCACTAACATTACTTTGCTTCTATCATTCAACTTATTTCTCTTAGCATCTGAAACATGTTTATATAAAACAGAACCAAATACCCCGAAATGACTCACACTTTGCTTATCTCCAGGCCACTTCTTTAATGGAAACAATTTCCTTTAACTTCTCTGTTGGACACCTACTGAGTATATACGCTAAAGTAGCTACAACTTCTCCCCACAAGGTGTCAGGCAACTTCTTCTCTTTCAGCATGCTCCTTGACATATCAAGCAAGGTTCTATTTCTTATTTCAGCAATACCATTGTGTTGATAAGTGTATGGAGCATTAACCTCATGCTCTATTCCGCTCTCCTCACAGGAGTTATAGATTTATGTATAGTTATACTCACATCCACCATCAATTATGAGAACTTTCAACTTCTGACCATTTGTTTCTCAGCCTTGACCTTGAACTTCTAGAACTCGGTAAACATCTCATGCTTAAACTTGATGAGTGCTACCCATATCATTCTTGTGAATCCATCCACAAAATACACAAAATACTTGTTTCCTCCAAGTGAAGGTTCTGGAAATGGTCCACATACATCAAAATATACTACTTCCAAAGCATGCTGAAATTCTGATATAGGCAACATGCATATATCCCAACATCAGAATGATGTTAAGGCAGATGTTATAACATCTGGTAGAAGACCGGTTTAATTAAGCTATAAGTGATACTGAAACTTAAACTACAGAATGAAAAATAACACACGAAGTTATTAATCCAGTTCGGTGCAAACTCACCTACTCTGAGGGATACCAAGCCAGTAAAGAAATCCACTATCAATAGAACTAGTTCAAAGCTAAACCCCCCGTTTACAACTTCTCGCCTGATCCCAACCCAATGTAACTTCTACCTAGGCACCTCCTAGATATAAGAAATCACCATCTCACTTCCAATCACCATAGTTACATCTAACAATCTCAATCTCAATCCCAAAGACTACAACAATTACAATCCAACTTAGAAGATTACACTTCAAATACAAAAACTCAAACTCTTGCTTAAAAGCTTCGAGTGAGAACAATACTCAACTTATTGCCTAAAATATTCTAAGTGAGAATATAATGTCAATCACAAGTATCAAAAGATACATGGGTGGCTTACAAACTACACAAGAGACTCTCAAAACTTAAGACTTATGCTTCCCCTAATTTTATAAATGTTGAAAACTTAAATTACATTAGTTTAGGATTCCCCTTAAAATACAGCTCTGCAGTCCATGGGCTTCGATATTTTGAGTCTAGAAGTTTCTTAATCCACAAGCTGAGTGATGCACCAATTATGTAGAAAATCTCCTTAAATCTTGGAACAACCAATACAAAGTTTCCTAAAATGTCTCAAGGCCCAATTTAGTAATCAATGCACAGTTGGAGATATAAAACTTGTTCTAGATTAAATCTTCTTGACCTGCAAAGTAAACTGGGATATGTCAGAAAGAAATATCACATAATCAAATCAAATCTTCCAAGATTTAAAACAACATTGGCTGATGTATTGCAGTACTAGATCAAGATGTCATGACATCTGCCTTCAACATATGACTGAAAAACACATAACAGTAAAACTGTTATGACAATTGATAAAGATGTTATAACATCTCACTCAACAACAACATATAACCATTTTAGAACCATACTTAGCCAAAATTTAGCCAACCATAAAAACATAGGACTAACAAGTTGTGATAAAATCCATCCCAAAGCTCCTTAGCCAAACCAAGCTCGGGAGTGCCAATATTTTATAGCAAGATCCCTGACATAATGATGACAGACCTAATGACTTTGTATTGCAAGTAGAATAAATTCCTTGTATCTTAATTGCAGTAGAATGTCACATTACAATGTCATGATATCCGGTTAGACATTTCATCCTTTTAGTAACCAACTCAATATAGAAAACATCTTTCTTCAGCAATGTACCTAATCTACAAGACATACCAAGACTCAATTAATTCTAATCTCAAGAATCAGAATATCCTCCAATGATACAATCTTCTTCAGACTTAGCCAATAGGTTTTTACTTCAAGCATCACCATCATTATCTATTTCATTTATGAAACAACTAATGATGATAGACTAAAATAACCTCCA